ATAGTGATGTTTACCATCACCTTTTAAGTATCACTCAGTAATATCACTTAAATACAGATAGGCCTCTATCCACAATTGCAGTTTGGAATTTAGATTGTAAATTGTTGCAAGTGTTAAGCTTTCTCAGACATGATTATTCAACAAAGAGAAAACTGCCTGCCAGAGGGGGATAGACAGCTGCTTCCATATGCAGAAGGGGACTGAAGCACTGGGCTGGAGGAAATTTTGTCTCCAGAGTTTCTTTTCTCCCTTCCAGAGCTGCAATTTTCTTCTTGCCTGCCAGAGAGACTCCAACCCACACGAGCGAAGGGTCAGGCAGGCAGGACTTTTACTCTCAAGCACAGTGGCTGAAATTAAGCCTGTCTCAAAATCCAACCATGGATTTCAAGACAGACTTTTTCAGCCAGGAACCAGATAGTTTATGGTAAAAACACCTGTGAGTTTTTCCTATGGACTTTCTGGGAAACCAGGTAGAGAAGATTGCATAAGGCTTTTGGCAACCTGCTATAAGTGTGAGTGGGTTGACAAAAGCCATATCGCAATCACATAACAAACTGTAAGTTCAGGCACAGATCATATGTCCCTTCATTTTGAACTGTGACTGAACAAATGGTTGCTAAATGAGGACTACCTGCATTTTTTTTCTAAGTGTCCAGATGCTAACTAAAAACATTTAAATCATTCTATTTTTCCAACCCATACAAGATAAGATAGTAATATTTATAATCATATTTAAAATGAGATGTTTACTGTAGCAAATTGTAATTAGAACTAAATAAATCATAACTTAGGGTTTAACATTACTGATCTCAAAGTGGGATTGTTATGATATTTACTAGAATCCAATTGGACAAAAAGGTTTTCATTTATGTAATTAGGGTATTATTAATTACTGCATTTGGGCAGGAGCTTTTAGTCACAGCTAATGAAATAAGATCTCTGAACAGCTAAGAATTAATTCAGCTGATAACATATTTCTGAAGGTTGAAACTTCTTCCAAACTACTGTATAAGTTATACCATTAATATTATCATTCTAACCTTTGAAAATAAAGTAATTTCGGTTTAAATTAATTTGGCTAGGATTCAATAGAGTATGTTGCACAACCATTTCTTCTTGGGTAAGACCTGAGTGATTGTAATTACATTGTTCAGTTTCTGGCTAATTACTGATAAAGTCTGAGAAAATATTGGTCTAAAAGTTTATCAGCCAGACAAAGTTATTGGAAACTTCCCTATATTAAACACATTATAATGCGCAGCAGTAAGGGTCCAGTAAATGGTCTTAAGTTCAGCTGTCCAAGAGAAGCAAAAAGAGCCCTAAGCTCTTTCAGAAACAGTCCTGAATATGAAAGTTTATTCTGGGCCAAAATGCGGATTTCATCAGAGACAGTTTTTTTATGACAAGTATGCTTTTTATTCAGATAACTGTTCATTGAAAATGACATTTCAATTTGCTAGATGTGACTCAGAAAGCCTTGTCACTGGGCCAGCTTCTGAAAGAAATAATCCTATCCTGGGCCTAGTTCTTCACACAATATAAATTGTTATACTAAAAGACCACGGAAAGACTATTTTCCTACAATTCAGACTCAGTTCTTTTTCAACTAGCTGTACAATTATATATAAAAAGGAAAGGCTGGTATTTCTGGCCCATTATAATTCTAAGGGAAGCTGTTCCTTTTTAAAGAACTAAAACTACATTTGCATGAATTCTTGTGTACCTCTTTCAGAACATTAAAAGAACATATAAAAACCTCATGTTAATCGGGATTAGCTATCCATTAAGCCTCATATCGGTTAAATCATAATTTATATAATAGGCCATCAGTGTTATGTCACTTTATAATTATGTAAACAATTTAAGCTCATCCAATTGTCAGTTGTGATGTTATGATAAAAATTGTCATGAATCATCCAGATTAATTTGACTAAAGCACACTGGGGTGTATGGGGTACCTGGAAATTTTGCTGCTTGTTTCTGAAGTCTTGTTTCTGTCAAATAGAAAGTTCAATGGATTTAGGAAAATGATAGCATGATACCTGATACTGTGAGCTATTAATGGGAATTCCTGGAGCTGGTTATTGAGGTTATACCAATAGCATTTAAACTTATATACTGCTTTACAGTGCTTTACAGCACTCTCTAAGCGGTTTACAGAGTCAGCATGTTGCCTCCAACAATCTGGGTCCTCCTTTTACCAACTTTGTGTCAACCTTGAGCCTGGTGAGATTGGAACTGCCAAATTACAGGCAGCCGGCAGGCAGCAAAAGTAGCCTGCAGTACTGCACTTTAACCACTGCCCCACCACGACTTACCAGTCATCTGAAAGGTTTGACCTTAAGCCACATAATATCTTTGGAATGTAAAACATGCAGAAGATCTTTGGTACAGCATTAATGCATCTTCAGTTAGAATTAAAAAATATTTATCTAATTAAACTAGTCTGTGACCATAATAAGATAATCTGAATGTATCTGAACTCAGGATAACCTCTATTACAGTGAACCAGAAAGGTAAAGGATCCAAGTTGTAAAGTTAGTTTTCTAATTTTCTATTCCACAGCAAATACCATATTGAAACATCTATTTTCAAAGGAAAAGAAAGGTGGCCACCTGCAGCAATTGAGTGTATATGCATTCCCCTACTTTCCCCTGAATAAAAATTCACAGCTTTAAGGGCAAAGAACTTTTTCATTTTCCCTGTAGTCATATATCTGACAGCTCTGCGCAAATAAAAGGATAAATTATGGCTGCATAAATTGGGAAATTTGAGGAAAGCAAATTTAAAGGTCATATTTGTTCCTGGTATCACATTTAAACTTATTTGGATTCTTAACTGGATTTAAAATAATGCAATTTCTAAACATACTCACAAATAAAAGTCAAAGCAAGACAATATATAAATATGCATGAAATTATTGAGACAGCCAAAAATATTAAGCATGGCAGGCCACATAATATGTATCATGCACATAAGTATTTTGCCTTTTCTTACTCTGAAGTAAGAATTAAATTAAAGATTACAGCCTGATTAATTTAACAAGAGTGGGACTTTTGGGCTGGGGGTGTTATATTTTGTTTACTATCCCTGTATTTGGTCTGAAAAATTATGTCATGATATAATGAAAACAGGGATATTAAAAATTGCAGCCCAGTATTGGGGAAGAATTGTTAAGAACCCCAAACTCTTTATCAGTTTACAGATACCAATAATGCCTGGGCATCATATTTCTAGCTTTTAAAATTATACGTTATCTGTCTTGCCATAATTAGAACTAGTGCTGTTTCTTTCACCAAAAGCTAAGAGAAATTTGTGTACTTGGAAGTTTTGTAGTTATGGAAATGACCAATATGATGTTCATTTTAAACAAATACGAAATATTGATAGTAGGTGATGAGGTTTCATAGAGAGAAAGGGGAAGAGGCACATTTTTTACAAACTCCATGGATAAAATTTATGACATCCAATCATTTTCTATCTTGGACATCCAGTGGCTCATCCCTATCATTTATACCCTCAACCAAAGCAGCTTCAGCATCACAACTGGAAAGTATATGTATAGGGACAGCCCAAGAAGTTGACATTAAATGAGGATCTATCTGCTATGTTACTGTTCTGTCCTGCTAAGTACTCTCCTATACCCGCTTTTTCCATAGTAGCAGCAGTACCACTAGTCTGTATGTAATTGGCCACCACCCCACAGATATCAGAGAGGTTCATCAGTTCTGATGTCACAATTCATTACTCCAATGAAATCTGTAGAGTGACCCTCATACCATAACTAAAAAGTCTATATTTCTCTTTGCTTTGGGGATAGTAAAGCAACAGCTCTGGGACACTTCACTTGGCCATCCTGATTGGTCACTCACAGAAGATTCTTGGGTTCACGTAATAGTTGATACGGCATTTTCATAGTTTTCAATACAAGCATAAAGTGGAAAATATAGTCACAAAATTATTGTAAAATTATTGAGAAAGATATATGTTGCTAAGCTTTGTATTCTGAAACAACAGACATGAGTTACTACTTGTAATTAAAGCACAACACAAGTATTTAATTTCAGTTTATTAGAATTTCCTGCTGTATGATTTTTACATTGCTGAAATAACATTAGCTGATTTCTCTATTCATATTGTAATAGGCTTAGATGGAAATTAGGCACACTGAACATTTGTTAGAGAGTTATATGTGGGCAATAGACTAATTATAGATGGTATTACATCTTATAATATGCGTTAAAGTTTGAGAACCTGAACCCTTTAGAATTTTCAGAATTTCTGCATAAATATGATTTGAAACTAGATAGAGAGCCCAATTAAACATATTTGAAATATTTGACTCTAATGTCCCCTTCACATGCACTGATGATCACATACCTTGTGATATGTAACTTTGAATCATTTTTTCTCAATAAACAGGAAAAAGTATAATGTTTTTGACCTAAGTTTTTACCAAACTTGTCAACTATATCAGAACTCTGTATTAGTCAATTACTGTTCATTTCAAAATGACCTGTAAGATAAGCTGTATATCTAATTTAGGTTATGTGTAATCAAGAAATAATGCTGGAAGTTCAAAGGGCTGCAAATGCAAGTTATAAGAGCAATCTGTGTGCCTTCCCTGACAATGAAATGTTTATTGGATGACTTCTAAAATTAAGCAATCTTGTCATTCCTCTTGCTTATTGCCTATGACTCAAGCATTCCCTTTTGGACAATGTGTATCATTTGAATAGAGAAAATCTAATAAAAACATTGTGACAGGCATGTACCATCCACAATATGTAAATCATGCTTAGGCAAATTGATTTCAATTGTCAATATATTAGCAAACTGTATTTTCTGAATATCAAAATGTGTAAGTATTCTTATGTGTCTAAATGCGGGTACAAAACTGACCTTCAATCCAATGAGAAGTAAAAATTAGGTTTCATCCTTTCATCCACTTAAAATAACGAAGAAGCAATTCTTTAAACTATATGTTTTTATATTTTCAGGCTTTCATATCGGACTGGTCAAGACACTTCCAACTGTGACACATGTAGGAACAGTGCGTGTATAATCTATAGGTAAGTAACTTCTCATGTTTCCACTTTTCAAATTGGGTAAAAATGATTTTATTCAGTAGTGGGACCTGCATGCAAGCCACTGTTTTAAATTGGTATTTCAGCATGATTGCCCTTAAGAACAGGAAAGTAATGTTTACTGTACTATAAAGCCAATTTATAAGGTATTTAAATACTAGAAAAAAGAGAAATGAGATAGGGATAGTGCTATGCATTAACTTGTACAATAAAAGAACAGAAATTTGTAGCAAGTACTTCACGAAAATATCTTTTTTTTTTTTCATTTCAGTAACTTGATGTTTACAATAATAAATTTGAAAACAATTAACAGTGTAAATTATGCTCTGAACATTACCCTTTTAAAAAGGTACACAGCATATACTTGTAATGTATAGCCTAAAAATGGAATGTCTTCAATGAATGAATATGGACACTTTTAACATTCAAGCAAAAGAATGAATAGCGACTCAGCCTTCTACATCACATTTTCATGATCAAATAAATATTTATTGCAAAATAGTCCTGGTTAAAATATGTATACAGGCCTCAGTAACAGTCATTCGGCAACCCTTTAAGGTATGATGGTGCTGAATAAGCCGTTCTTACAACTGCTCAACAAAGTTCCAGAAGCATATTCCCCATGGCCACACGAGTGCCATTTGAGATCCTCACTGCCAGCTTCTGACAAGCAGTCAATGGGAAAAGCTGGAAGGTCACAAAAGGCGATCAATATGATGTCATGCTTAATGACATTGCAGGATTCACCTAATGACAGCATCCAGAAGTGCCATAAGCAGCACTGTCATGTGACATTATGCTTCAAAACTGCATTGCTTAGCAACAAATTCTGATCCCAATTTACATAGTTAACTGAAGATTACCTGTAATAGATTATGTGTCGATGTGCCTTTGTAAATAATACCCACCTCCAGAAATTGGAAAAGTAGCACGCAATTAAAAGCATAGATTTTCATTATTCTTCACAAAACTAGAGTATAAGTTGATAAATGTACATAAATATGTACACATATATATTGCTTAATGTAACAATTAAATTACATTATAGCAGTATGGTTGTATTTTATCATCTTTGATGAGAATGATGCACATTATATTTGTTGAACAGTTTTCTGGGACAATCAATGATGAAAATTTGTTATATTAACTGGGTAACCTATGGAGTAGTTGTTGCCAGAAATAATGTAGGGTGTTTTAGGATACAAGGACTACATTTCTAAGTATTTTTGTGTCACATCTTATGCTGTCTGTCTGCATAATCCATCAAGCATAAATTGGTGCAGTATCGATTGAGCTGCAGTCTAATGCCATTCCATTCATTCTCCTGTGTAATGCATGCCATTAATGAGATGAGGTGTTCAAAAGTTCTTAGGGAATAAATTGGCTTTAGGTGAATTTTACTTCATACTTTTCAATTGTGTATAAGCAACTAATGTTTTGGACTGTACAATTGTGCTTTAGCAATCAAGTGTTGCATAAAGGTTTTTTAACTGATACAAGCTAAATACTGTGACTGTAAGAATCCTGAAATATTGTGCATGGAAAGCTTTATAAGTAATCCTTGTGTTACAATGGCAATTGGCACTGGATTTGTCATTGCTAAGTGATGCAATCATAAAGTACATCATGGGACCACATCGTTTAGCAATAACAGTTCCATTTGCTAAAAGCAAGATATGCAGGTCGTTATGCAGGAAATGGTGGAAGTCCCAAGTAATGAACTCAGGAGTGTTGGGGATGTGTGTGCCTGCAGGGTGTGGGGGAGGTCCTGGAAAATTGGGGCAAGCTATCCGAGCACAGGAAAGCCAAGAGAGTGAAGGCCACAGCAGGGCACGTCTCCAGAAATCCTGGAGGTAGATCCCACAGCAAGGCTTAAGAGGGATGGGGTGTGCAGGGCTTGATGTAAGCATAGTAAAACAAGGGGACTTACCGTAGTGACTTGGAACATTCTCCTCATTGACTTTGCTTATGGGAAGCCAGCAAGGAGGGATTTGGTTGACAATACTGCAGGACCCTGCAACTGTTGTGAGTGTGGCCAAGAACCTAAATCAAGATAAAATGACTGCAAGGGCTCTGTGACAACCAGAACTTTGTGAACCAGTCTTAAGATAGCACTCTTTTAGCACTGTTGCAACTTCAAATGGTTGCTGAACAGGTGGTCGGGAAGATTGAACTACCTATATTTTCATCAATGTTTCAAAATCCAGGAAGGAGAGATTCCTTATCCTTGTCCTTTTAAAGACTATCATTCCATGGACCCCCATTTCCATCTTTCAGTAGCCAAAGATACACAATGCTAAACTTTAGTGATATACTGAAGTTACTGTCAGTGTGTGAGTTTTAAATAAAGATAGAAACAGAAAGGTCAGCTCTGAGAGGGTTTTTTTTTTTCATTTCTTTCCGGAAAATGCCCCCTTCCGCCACTAAATTCCCCATTTTGGTATGTTTTAAAAGTGGAGCTGAGAATAGGTCTTGGGAAGCAAATTGTTCTCATGCTGTTTACTCTTTAAGAGTAAAATGGATGCCATTTGCCTTCTGGAGACTTCGTGTTGCCATTCTTGTCCTAAAAAGTCCACAAAACTGGATTCAAAAAATCAGCTCTTCCCCTTCAATGTGAATTTTCTGGAGGACCTTTGGAAAGTCAGGAAGCTGATGTAACTCCCAATCGCTCCAGTTTTGTGCAGCTATGCCCTACAAATCAATCAAATCCTGTACTACTTTAATAACAAGTATTTTTTATTTTATTTTTCTTTACTCTGGAGTAGCAACTATAATGAGTTATACACAAGGTCCGTCTGTAAACTATTTTCTGGTTTATAGCAATTCTTTCTTCTTCCATTTCTATAGCATTTTCTTGGCAGATGCCATCATCAGAAGTGATGTACTGATCCATTTGCTAGGGGATAGAATACACTAATCAAGCAGTTTTCTTTGTTGCTACATGTTCTTGTGCGAATGCTAAAATAAACTTTTGACTTGAATGGTTGCTTTCGATCATTCTTCAGCACTTTTGAAGTAACAATTCTTCACTTGAATGAAGTGAAGGACAGTTCATAAATTCATTATATCCATTTCTTTACCTTTAAAAAAGGTCCTCTTTCTAATGTTATTTGGCCCACCAATGTATATTAAGGAATTGTTGCAATATATTTCATTCACTGATTTTATCCATTCCTTTTTTTCTAATTCCCTTTCCCATTATTTTGTATGCATAATAGCTTAAAGTTATATTACAGTAAAATCTTTGACATTTTTCCAGCCTGAAAGTGACTTACCAGAACACATAAACTATCTGTAAATAAATTCAGAAATGCACCCCATCAGTGCAAGCTCTTAGGTTTATCTATTCAGATAATTTCATTTTTAAAATAGGTAAAATTCTTGGTGCATTACTTTTATGCATTGAAATAATAATTATAAATTAAACTAGGGCAGAATAATTGGCAGACACAATTAGCTGACTCACCCATAGTGGGAATTCATAGAATGTAAATATATGTAACCATATCCTAATTAAGTTGGAAATTCAAATATTCAAATATTTCCTCAACAAAACTATTTCCTTTTTCTAGTAGCAGAAAATATCATTGGGGTCATAACAAGCATTCAAAATGAATTAAGTTTCAGCCATCTCTCATGGTTGTTTTCCCTGCATGCTTTTTCATACAAAATCTTTAAAAACATGCTGTTCACTTTATCCCAACTGCTTGTTTTTAAAACATAATAGATGACAATAATTAGCAACTTCCATTCACGGCTGCCAGAGCAGGCCATTTTTTATATCCTTACATCACCTTATTCATGCTTTTACTAGGAATATATTCACTGTCATCTCTCCTTTAGGATAGTAATTGCACAACTGCTGAAAAGAAAGTACCTTTCCTTTGGCATTGTAACATTTACAAAAGCATTACAGAGGGAGATGGGCTATGGAGGGAGAGTTGTTCACCCCAAAACAATTGCTTTTCTGCTTCTTTTCACCCTCACTCTTCTATACCTGTGTGTACGTGCATACATGTTAAGAAAAGCATATTCATTCAGAAGAAATCCAGGAAGAAATGTAATAGCTGGAAATTATGGCCTTGGAAGCTGCTGCTGAGAGAGGGAGAGAAAGGCACAACAAAATAATGGATTTGGTGCAGTATATTGCTGGAGCTCAGTGTTTAGGGGTTTCTAAGGTATAAAAAATATAGTAAAATGAAATAATTAAAACTGAACAAGAATCTGGGCTTTTAAATAGTTCAAGTTAAATTACCAGTGATGGCTAAATGATGGCTGCATAACCAATAGGGAGTGATAATACACTCATGGTTCAGCAACATTTGAGAGTCTCCAGTTTTCCACTTCTGAATAGGATCCACACACAAGAGATCAAGGAAATTGAGGTTCCGCTGAGTATACATTGATATCAACATTTTTCTTTCCAGTTAATCCTTCTCTAACAAAGTAATTTATTTTCCTGTTAGCCTGACTGGTTTGTTGTATTTTTATTCTTGTCAGGTATTGGCTGTAGGTCTTTGTAACCTGTCTTTCTTTATAAATTTACCATTCACATAAGTAATCAAAGACTGAAAATACAAGCTGCCCGACTTTCAATGAGTAGCAACTTCCACATAGGCCGTGGAATAGCAAGAGAGGGGGAGAGAAACCCCAAGGCTTCAATTCTGGGTTTATTTCCCTTGGTAGTAACAGATTGCTTGCAGTCTATTTCTCATGCTAGCTGATTGGCTGCATCTGGCCTGCGTTAATCACATTACTGTGAATAAAACATAGGGGCTCATATTATTTCATATAATAATATTTTTAAGGACAAGGGGCAGGAGGAGAATTTCCTGAAAAGATTCTCAGTTTCTGCTCTACCAAGTCAAATACCTTGCCCATGTAACTTTACCATCAATATACTAAATCTTGAAAATTTGAAAATATTTAATGCAGAATAATGCACTAAACTACACATGATGTGAATGACCCAGAGTATATCAGAA